ATGTCGTTGATGGAAGATTTAATTTATGAAGCGGCGGCCTTGAAGCACGAGCAATTTAATTTGAAGAGATGGGCTTCCGAGCAACGAAACATAGCCGATGAATAAATTTTTCGATTGAAAAGGGTTTCTTTGATAACGATGGAGAGTTTTGGTCGGGTGGGGAAAATTGTTTGGGGTGGGGAAGGCAAAGAAAGGGAGTTTGGGAGAAGGAAAAGTTGTGATAGAAAAAAGTTTCCGAGCAACCGGAATCGAACCGGTGGCCATTTGATTTCCGAATTCGTATACGAATACCCAACTACAGTCAAACGCTCTACCAACTGAGCTATGCTCGGATCTGACACCTCCTACGGAAACGACTACCACACACCAACAACTACAACTACACTACGAATTATTTCTTTTTTTCTTAATGCACACACATACATTGCACATGCAGCCATTCCCCTGCGATATTCCTGCTCTTTACGCTCATTTTGGCCTCTCGAAGCCTTCTTTTATGGTCATTTTAAAGACCCATTTTTGGCTCATTATTTTTTTACTTTGACGTGATTCGAATCATATTTTCGAGCCCTCTCCTGACCCTCTCAGAGCTTTGTATTTTTTTATTCGGACCTTTTGCGTTAATTCCATTGAGTGACTTCAATCACACCGTCGAGCCCATTTCCGACCACTTTATTGCTCAAATCGTCATTCTGAGGCCTCATCTTCTTCGTTTCATGTGATGCGATGTCAATCATGAAGAACATGTATGACAACGAAAATGATGCTTTTTAGACGTGTGCATGTCGTTGATGGAAGATTTAATTTATGAAGCGGCGGCCTTGAAGCACGAGCAATTTAATTTGAAGAGATGGGCTTCCGAGCAACGAAACATAGCCGATGAATAAATTTTTCGATTGAAAAGGGTTTCTTTGATAACGATGGAGAGTTTTGGTCGGGTGGGGAAAATTGTTTGGGGTGGGGAAGGCAAAGAAAGGGAGTTTGGGAGAAGGAAAAGTTGTGATAGAAAAAAGTTTCCGAGCAACCGGAATCGAACCGGTGGCCATTTGATTTCCGAATTCGTATACGAATACCCAACTACAGTCAAACGCTCTACCAACTGAGCTATGCTCGGATCTGACACCTCCTACGGAAACGACTACCACACACCAACAACTACAACTACACTACGAATTATTTCTTTTTTTCTAATGCACACACATACATTGCACATGCAGCCATTCCCCTGCGATATTCCTGCTCTTTACGCTCATTTTGGCCTCTCGAAGCCTTCTTTTATGGTCATTTTAGCGACACTATAATAGGAAGGTCGATTGAGATACTTATCGTGCTTTGAAAACCCATTCTTTGATGCTGCCGATACATGACTGATTTATTGATCAATAAAACGTTGAAATCAAATTCGAAAAAATATACCGGTAGAGACTTCGCCTACGTCGCGCTACGCCGCATAAATTCGTGGGCGTTGGCAGAGGGTGACAATTAAATTCTAGCGGATTTTCAATGAATCGCCTAGCGGATTTAATTTCAAGACCGATTCCTCGCAAACTGTGCTGCGTGCGTCCACGTCAGCCTCGGTTCAAGGCCTTGGCATCGACGCCGCCAGAGGTCGTCCTCGCCGCACGGCTTACGTAACCGCTGTCGGAGTCGCTGGAGTACCAGCGACTCCTCTTTGGCAAGCGACACTGAGGCTCACGAGGGCGCACGCCGGACGGTTTGCGAGGAATCGATCCTTTCCAAGAGGACCACGCGCATTTTCAAGCCGTGTAGTCAGAGTCGTCTGGGAGCGCGAAGGCCAGCGCCATTGCACGCTGTAGACACGGTCGTGCGCATATTTGCGCCTTGAACATGTTGTCGCCGAGGCTGTCTCTTCCTTCGAAGACGACCCGCTTTGCCACAGAGTTGGCTCGCTCGCTCGGCACCAGCATGGCCGGGCTCAAGAGGTAGTTCATCGCAATCTTGTACAGCTCGGGGTACACATCATTGTGCGAGCGCCACCACATTAGGACGTTCTCATCCTTGTCGACCTGGGGCAGCGCAGCGACCGATCGATCTCGTTGTTGTTGTTGTTGAAGTGGGTCGTCTATTACAATAGATAAACTATGCTAAATAAAATTGTCGGACTTTCTTCGTTCTGTACACTCGGTAGAGGAACTTGATTCAGGCAGGCGGAGGCAGGAGCGCGATCCGCGGGACGAGGTGACGTCGCGGCCACTCGTGTTGGGCGAGGAGCCGGAGAAGCCGACGAAGTGCAGGCTGCTCGGGCTCTTGTACGAGGCTGTAGTGCACGTGCAGTTGAGCGACACCTGCCGCTTTGACGGCAATCGTCCATGGACATGACAGCGGTAGGTCGGCGCGAAAGACGCGATCGTTCCGGACTCGCCAGACGTTGAACCAGACGCAGGCGCGGAGCACGGGCCAGAGGTAGCGGAACGCGGCTTGGTGCATGTTGGACGCCGTCTTGGGCGTCGAGTAGAGGTAGCTGGAGAGCGTTGTCGGCAAGGTCACGCCCAAAGGGACCGTGACGGCGTGAAGCGTGCTTCACACGTCCTTGATGAAGTCGCAGTCTACGAGGAAGTGGCGGTACGTCGTGCTCGGGGCAGAAGAGGCACGCTTGGTCGGCCCTGTCGAGCCAGTGCAGATGGGCGCGGAACTTGACCGCGCGAAGCATTACTTGGTAGACGAAGTCGGCGTACTCGGCTGCGGCGGCTACGGCAGCAGGCGCCTCCTAGAAGTCTTCATCGACACCCAGGTGGCGGGTCGGTAGCTGCAAGCGCGTCCTTGGCGGGGCACGACGTCGGCGGGCTTCGGCGGGCGTTGTATGGGTGAACGGCTTGGTAACCTGGCGGAGTCGAACCAGCCATGGCGATCGATCTCGTTGTTGTGGTACTAAGTACGTCACGTCGTTGGTCGCCGAGACGCCAAAGAGGCTGGTTGAGCTCGTTGCTCTTGTTGCAGGGCAAAACGATATCGTCTGGCAAGCTGACGACGACATACCGGGCCAGGACCGATCATGTAGTCCAGATTTCACGAAGCCGTGGTCGCCGCCTTGGTCTTCCCCGAGTTGGTCCTTCCTGGGCACGGTTCTGCGACATCGACGCTGTCGTCCGACATTCGAGATTGATTAATTTGAAGGCTGTAGTATGCGCGCTATGTTGGTTGGCCAATGATAAATGACTGGAGCCACAGCTTCATCGGCTCGAGAAAGTGGAGCCAAAGCCGGAGCGAAACCGAGCTGGCCGTCGGCTCCACAGTACATCGTACAACCACATTTCGACGGCGATGGTTGTCTTGCAGCAATTGGTTGTGCACCGGGGCACACCAAGTGTAATGGGACAAAACCAGGGACAAAAATACTTGTCGAGTGATATCGTCGACTGTTCGCGGAGCCTTCCTCGGATCTTCTGCGAAAGACACGACGTGACCGAGCTACTCTACGTCCCACCTGCAATGCTGGCGTCTCTGTATCGGGCAAGCGAGCAACGGCCAAGGGACAGGCTCTCCCACGCCACGTTCAACTTGCAGCACGCTTCGCGGTCCACCAACCGCGGACTGTATAGCGTTCACCGATGCTTCAATTGGTATCATCGGTCGAATACGCTACGTCGTCGTCGTGACATCAGCATCACCTACGTCTGACGGCGCCTCGAGCCGAGAAAGGCCGAGGACAAGTGCCCCGTGTCATCTAGACAACTCGGGTAAAGAGGCAGCAGTTGGAAGCCAAAACGCGATGGGCGCCAAAGCACCGAAGCGCAGCGTCTCGGAAACAGATGGGTGCGACTGGGTAGCACTCAGGCCATCTGGAAGTGCTGGTTCGAGCTGACTTCAATGAGGCACTTTCTATGCGAATAATACAAACGCGATAACAAGCGTCACTTTGCATTTCGCGGCGTCGCACACCAGCCACCAACTGCGATGGGGTTCCAGCTCACCAAGGTCGGTCACGTCTTCACGCTTCTCTGCGTCATCAACCTCCTCAACTACCTCGACCGCGGTATCATTCCCGGCGCGCCCATCGAGTTCCAAGCGTTCATCCAGCGCACACACAATGTCGCGTCCGACGGTGTCAGCGTCTACATTGGCCTCCTCCAGTCGTCCTTCATTGCGTCGTACTCGATCTTCATCTGCATCTTTGGCTACCTCTCGATGACGCGCAAGCCGTTCACGCTCTCGGCCATCGGTCTCTTCATTTGGGTGCTCTCGATCGTGCTCTGCGGCCTCGCCAAGCCGCTCGCGTCGTTCTGGGTCCTCCTCGTCGGTCGCCTCATTTCCGGCATTGGCGAGTCGTCGTTCCAGGCGACGACGCCGCCGTTCATCGATGAGTTTGCGCCCAAGGAAAAGCGCACGCTCTGGCTCGGCATCTTTTACGCCGCCGTCTCGGTCGGCCAAGCGCTCGGCTTCTCGTACGGCTCGGTCATGGCCGCGACCGCGGGCTGGGACATTGGTTACTACATCACGGCCGCCATCATGGTCCCGCTCGCGTTCGCTTGCTACAAGTTCATTCCTGACCACCTCAACCAGCCGCTCGCCAACCACGCGCCCAAGGACCTCGACGACGGCTTTGCCGACGCCAACGACGTGCTTCCGATCGAAGAACCCGAGCACGACGAGAAGCCCAAGTCGGTGCTCTCGGAAACGTGGACGATCCTCAAGTCGCCGCTCTTCCTCACGTCGACGCTCGGCCTCGCCGCGTACACGTTTACACTCGCGGGTATGGTCTCGTTCGCGCCGGCCATCCTCATTGGCTATGGTCTTTTGAGCGAGTCGCTCGCGTCGACGGTGTTTGGTGCTCTTGTTGTGCTCGCGGGTCTCATCGGGTCGCCCTGCGGCGGCTACGCCATCGATCTCCTCTGCCGCTCGAACATGAACGACAAGAACTTCCGCATGCAGCGCTCTGCCTTGTACATGTTTGCCATGATGACGATCGGCGTCGCGCTCCTCTTTTGCTCGCTCATCTTCATGAACTCCAAGATCCTCTTCCTCCTCTTCCTCTTCCTGGGCCTCCTCCTCGTCTTCTCGACGCAGACCGCGACGACGATCGTCGTTCTCATGAGCGTCACGCGCTCCCAGCGCGGCTACGCCATGGGCCTCAACACGCTCCTCCTTCATCTCTTTGGCGATGTGCCCGCGGCGATTGTGCTCGGTGCGCTCAAGGACAAGTGGGCGCCGCACTGCGGCAGCAGCATCGACGAGACGGGCAAGGACGTGCTCGACCCCAACTGCTACTTGGACAAGGACGGTCTTCGCAACACGCTCGCGTTTGCGTACGGCTGGCTCCTCTGGGCCGTGCTGCTCTGGGGTGGGTCCTACTATTTCGCGTGCAAGCGCGTCCAGCAGGCGAGACTTGCGGACCTCGAGCTCCAAAAGACGCCCGTGCACGCCGCGAGCGACTAATCAGCCACCCTGTCGTAGTCTCTGTAAACGTCTTCCTAAATAGTTTCTAGTCTTCTCTTCTGTCTCCGTGCAGCACCCAAGTACGAGGGTGGACTATAGTGCCAGCGGCCAGCGTTGGAGGGCCAACTTTGCGTGATCCCATGGTGCGCGACGGACATTGCACAGCTGCGACGGCATGCCGCGACAAGTGCCATCGTTGGGTACGAAGCTTTTACACATAAGCGCTCGACACAGTAGTTTCGACGCCTCGCTGCTACTACTGTCATAAGAACAATTCGACTTGACCATCGCTCGACCACCTCCAACAGTGTACGACTCGACAGCCCACTAAGCGCTGCTGTGCCGCACAATTATATGAAAAGAGGCTGTCGTTGCCACGTGGCGACCAAGAACGGTCCAAGGCTACTCGTGCGTTTTCCGCGAAGAGTCCGCCGCAGAAAAGCGAGCATCTACCCACGTACCGGTACCACTGCCCCACCGACCGTACGAGCATCATGTTGCCATCTCGACGACATGGTCCTTGCATCTTGGCCAAACTGCGAGCGCATATCGGTAGAGGACAGTATCCTATTGCGTGTCCGGCGATCATCCATCGACACGCGGGTGACCACAGCATGACGTAACACCGCATGCCACCGACTATACGACGCATTTCCACCCGCGCCTTGGTTTGCATTTTGAAAGTACACGAGCGGCGCACAATGGGCTTTGAGCTGACCAGCGTCAAGCACGTCTTTGCGCTCCTCTGCGCGATCAACCTCCTCAACTACATCGACCGCGGTATCATTCCCGGCGCGCCGATCCAGTTCCAAGCGTTTGTTCAAACGACGCACAATGTGGACTCGAGCAACGTCAGCGTCTACATTGGCCTCCTCCAGTCCATCTTTATCGCGTCGTACTCGATCTTCATCTGCATCTTTGGCTACCTCTCGATGACGCGCAAGCCGTTCACGCTCGCAGCGATCGGTCTCTTCATCTGGGTGCTCTCGATCGTCCTCGGCGGCCTCGCCAAGCCGCTCGATAGCTTTTATTTGCTGCTGTTTGGCCGGCTTATCTCTGGCATTGGCGAGTCGTCGTTCCACGCGACCGCGCCGCCGTTCATTGATGAGTTTGCGCCGCCGGCGAAGCGGACGCTCTGGATGGGTATCTTCTTCGCCGCCGTCTCGGTCGGCCAAGCGCTCGGCTTCTCGTACGGCTCGGTGACGGCGCGCACGATCGGGTGGGACGTTGGCTACTACATCACGGCAGCGCTCATGGTGCCACTCGCGTACGCGTGCTACGCTTGGATCCCTGACCACTGGAACCAACCGCTCGCGGTCGAATCGGCCTCGACGACCCAGTACGACGACGACGACGACGATGATGTGGCGCACCGCCCCGAGAACACGACGTTTTTGCGCGAAACGTGGATGCTGCTCAAGAGCCCCGTCTTCATGTGCTCGGCGATGGGCCTCGCCGCGTACAACTTTACGCTCAGCGGTATGGTATCGTTCGCGCCGGCCATCCTCATTGGCTACGGTCTCTTGAGCGAGTCGATCGCGTCAACGGCGTTTGGCGGCCTCGTCGTGCTTGCGGGTTTGATTGGCGCGCCTACCGGCGGCCTCATCTTGGATCGCATGTGCCGTGGCCACGAACACGAAAAAACGTACCGCCTCAAGCAAGCGTCCAAGCTCATGTTTGGCTTGATGACGTCCGGCGTCCTCTTTCTCTTTCTCTCGCTGGCCTTCATGGGCTCCAAAATCGTCTTCTTTGTCTTCCTCTTTGTGGGTCTCCTCCTCGTCTTCTCGACCCAAACCGCGACGACGATTGCGATCCTCATGAGCGTCACGCGCTCCCAGCGTGGGTACTCGATGGGCCTAAACACGCTCCTCCTCCATCTCTTTGGGGATGTGCCTGCCGCCGTCATCCTCGGCGCGCTCAAGGACAAGTGGGCGCCGCGCTGCGGCAGCAAGATTGACGCGAACGGCAAGGACGTACTCGACCCGTTGTGCCACTTGGACAAGGATGGTCTTCGTAACACGCTCTCGTTTGCCTACGGCTGGCTGCTTTGGTGCGTCTTGCTCTGGGGCGCCGCCACCTTCTATGCGTGCAAGCGCCATCGCGACGCCAAGGGCCATTACCGACTGCAGTCGACGCCGCTCGCCGCCGAAAAAGACATGGCTGCGTAGTCGTACTACCTGTACATTACATAAACCTCATAGCACAAGAAGAGTAACATCAAGGCATCGTACTCCTACTACTACTGTGCATTCCACGCGCGTGCATTTCGTTGATCACGTTTTCGTGTCTTCAAGAAGGCGCTAAAAACGAGGCGGTCCAGATGGCTCGGGCGTGGGGCAGCGTTATCATGGTCCGTGTGGCGTTGCGCCTCGTCGTTTCCTGCTCGCGACATTGAATTCTGGCCGGGCTCTTGCATGGCGTGGGCTTTAACGCCGCGCGCAATTGCAATGTCCTCGACACGGATGACAGCACCGGTGTCGTCAACTTCAAGGATTGTGGCACGTTCCCAGATCGTTCCGTGCACCACCTGCGATGGCGTAATGTCTGATCGTTGAGATATGGATGCCCATCTGAGAAGTACACATGGATGGTTCAAGCAGCAGCAGCAGTGAGCCAGCGCACCAAGTGCTGACGCACGGTTTCCGCCACTTTGGTTTCGGTCGCTCACGTCGGGTGCTGCCATGGCCGTCCAACTGCGCGTCGGCGCCATCTTTGGCATGTTCTGCTTCATCAACCTCCTCAACTGCATCGACCGCGGCATCATCCCCGGCGCGCCCATCGAGTTCCAAGGCTTCATCCAGCGCACGCACAATGTCTCGTCCGACAGTGTCAGCATCTACATTGGCCTCCTCCAGTCCATCTTCATTGGGTCGTACTCGATCTTCATCTGCGTCTTTGGCTACCTCTCGATGACGCGCAAGCCGTTCCAGCTCATGGCCATCTCGCTCTTTGTGTGGATCCTCTCGATCGTCATGTGCGGGCTCGCCAAGCCGCTCGACAGCTTTTATTTGCTGCTGTTCGGCCGGCTCATTTCGGGCATTGGTGAGGCATCGTTCCACGCGACGGCGCCGCCGTTCATCGATGAGTTTGCGCCGCCGGCGAAGCGGACGCTCTGGCTCGGGTGCTACTACGCGACGTTTTCGATCGGGCAGGCGCTCGGGTTTTCGTATGGGTCGGTGACGGCGCGCACGGTCGGTTGGGACTATGGGTTCTACCTCACGGCGGTGCTCATGGTGCCCGTCGTGTACGCATGCTACGCGTGGATCCCGGACCACCTCGATAAGCCGCTCGGAAAGAAGAAGCTCGAGGACGCTGCGAGCAAGTCGGCGGACCTCCAAGAAGAGTTTGTACCATCGACATCGACCCATGCGCCGCACTCGTTTTGGCGCGAGACGTTTGAAATCGCCAAGAACCCGGCCTTTCTCGCCTCGGCCTTTGGTCTCTCGGCGTTCACGTTTACGATCCAAGGCATGGTCGCGTTCGCACCGGCGATTCTCATTGGCTACGGCCTCCTCAGCGAGTCGATCGCGTCGACGGCGTTTGGCGGCATCGTCGTGCTCGCGGGTCTCATTGGGTCGCCGTTGAGTGGCTACATCCTCGACAAGGTGGTCCGCGGCCACGACGACGACCGCTACTTTCGCCTCCACCGCGCGGCATTTCAGATGTTTGTGTCGATCGCAATCGGCGTCGCGCTCTTGCTCCTGTCGCTGGGCTTTATGAACTCCAAGTTTGTCTTCCTCGGCCTCGTCTTTTCGGGTTTCTCTTTGTGTTTGCGACGCAAACCGTCACGACAATCGTCATCATGATGAGCGTCTCGGACGCGCAGCGCGGGTACGCCATGGGCCTCAGCACGTTCATCCAGCACCTTTTTGGGGATGTGCCCGCAGCCGTCATCCTCGGTGCGCTCAAGGACATGTGGGCGCCCCACTGCGGCAGCAAGGTGGATACCAGCGGCAAGGACGTGCTCGACCCCGACTGTCACTTGGACAAGGATGGTCTGCGCTACACGCTCGCGTTTGCCTATGGCTGGCTCCTCTGGACCGTGCTCTGCTGGGGCATCACGTACGTCATTGGGCGTAAATGGCACATCAAAGCCGACGCGGCCAAGGCGCTCGAGGCGTCGCCCAGTGTCAATGTCGTGGCGCAAGAGTAGATGTTGACCCAATCAAGAGGCGTTTGGGCCGACATTCTCATATTTTCTTAACCAATAGCGCATTTCACGAAATGGACAATGTTGTCGTGTATATCTATGAACACGGGCTTGGCATTTTTTCGTTGGCATGGAATTTCCATATTCATAGAGAGAGATCAGCTCGCCGGGCCGTGACTGCGAGGCGCAGGGTTGTTTCATTCCAACCAGTACTTGCTTTGGGCGTGGAAATACCATACAATCTAGAAACGCCGCGAGCAATTTGGACTTAACCATCGTAACTCTGCGAATAGTGGCGAGCGATGGATGCGTAAGCTAGAGGTCAGCACGAGGACCCATGTCCACGGATGAAAGTCGACTGCTTTCTTCCATCTCCAACCTTATACGAGCACACACAAGATGGCCAAAATGGATACATTTGTACGAGATGCCACGCACGCAGATGCGCTGTCTAACACTGATGGCCAACGGTGTGGCTGGCTCCCTCCACCACGTTTCGTACAATAACGTGTGGCAAAAGATCATACCCTTTCACAGCCTCTATAAACGAATATATTGCCGATCTTATTCGTTTTAACAGTTATGCTACCAGCCTCATGGGGTGGCATCACTCACAGCATCGCACTTCGAGCGCTTTACCCCCTCCAAGCATCAGTCCCATGACACTTGTGTTAGCATACCGGTATCGTACTACGACATATATTTCATGTACTAATAGTGGTGCTTCTATGCTACAGTAAGTCCCATCGCAGCCCTATACCGCGGTATCCGAACGTTCCTGGCCACTCTAGAGGAGATAAGACAACGTCGCACAGGGCCATCAAAAGAGTCCTGGAAACGGTACAGATTGTGTGCATTTGAAGAGGGCCATTGTATTCAACCAGTGTATTATCACATGACAAGATGAGCCCGACCGCCACGTCGACACGATATGCTTTTGAATCGACCCTGCATGCATTGCCCGAGCACGGGGTTGACCATTCTTTGGCGGGTTGACATGGGAAGCTGTCCGATTGGCGCCATCATCAGCCCTATGCAGCAAAACTGTACTGCACCGAGAAACTGAGAAGGCGTGGGTCATTTGCGTGGGTCGAACGTTCGATCGGCGAGGCACGTGGATGCGAGATGGCCCAGCGGACCTCAAGCCGAACCTGCGCGCTACGCCGTATTTATTCATCCATGCACCTAGAAACCCACCTCGTATACAGCGGCGAGAGCGCGTGGAAGGCTTGCGAAGGCTCATTGGGGACTGGGCGCTTTCTGCGGACAGCACGCAGTGCGCGCGATGCTGGTCATGCAGGCCGCCATATGGTCGGGTGCATGCCATCTTGCGTGTGCAGCGCATGCGAAAAAGCAATTTGGCCGCCACTTGTACTCTTGCATTGCCATGGCCATCCAGCTTGGCGCGTCGGCCATCTTTGGCATGCTGTGCTTCGTCAACCTCCTCAACTGCATCGACCGCGGCATCATCCCCGGCGCGCCCATCGAGTTCCAAGGCTTCATCCAGCGCACGCACAATGTCTCGTCCGACAGTGTCAGCATCTACATTGGCCTCCTCCAGTCCATCTTCATTGGGTCGTACTCGATCTTCATCTGCGTCTTTGGCTACCTCTCGATGACGCGCAAGCCGTTCCAGCTCATGGCCATCTCGCTCTTTGTGTGGATCCTCTCGATCGTCATGTGCGGGCTCGCCAAGCCGCTCGACAGCTTTTATTTGCTGCTGTTTGGCCGGCTCATTTCAGGCATTGGTGAGGCATCGTTCCACGCGACGGCGCCGCCGTTCATCGATGAGTTTGCGCCGCCGGCGAAGCGGACGCTCTGGCTCGGGTGCTACTACGCGACGTTCTCGATTGGGCAGGCGCTCGGGTTTTCATACGGGTCGGTGACGGCGCGCACGGTCGGCTGGGACTATGGGTTCTACCTCACGGCGGTGCTCATGGTGCCCGTCGTGTACGCATGCTACGCGTGGATCCCCGCTTTCTTCGACAAGCCGCTGGCCCTCTACGCCTCGAACGAGAACGATGACGACAGCAGCAACATGCAGATATCGACACCAACGAGCCCCGTTCTCTTGGCCGACGTCCAGCCGACGGCCAAAGCGCCGCCCGTGGCGACGTCATTTCTCCAGGAAGCGTGGACAATTGTGCGCAACCCGGTGTTTCTTGGCGCGACGCTCGGCCTGGCTGCGTTTACGTTCACCATGAACGGCATGATTGCTTTCGCCCCCGCCATTCTCATTGGGTACGAGCTCATGGGCGAGTCGATCGCGTCGACGGCGTTTGGCGGCATCGTCGTGCTCGCGGGTCTCATGGGGTCGCCGCTCAGTGGCTACGTGCAAGACCGCCTCTGCGCGGGCCGCGCACACGACCGCTTCTTCCGACTGCAGCGCGCGGCGGCGCAAATGGCGGCCCTCATCTCGACGGGCGTCGCGCTCCTCTTCGTGTCGGTGGCCTGCATGCAGGCCAAGGTCGGCTTCTTTGTTTTTTTGTTTGGCGGCTTTCTCTGTGTGTTTGGAACGCAAACCGTCACAACGATCGTGCTGCTCATGAGCGTCGATCAAGCGCAGCGCGGGTTTGCCATGGGCCTCAGTACGTTCCTCCTCCATCTCTTTGGCGACGTGCCCGCGGGTGTCGTGCTGGGTGCGCTCAAGGACAAGTGGGCACCGCACTGCGGCAGCAAGATTGATGCGAACGGCAAGGACGTGCTCGACCCCGAGTGTCATATGGACAAGGAAGGGCTTCGCTACACACTGGCCTTTGCGTATGGCTGGCTGCTATGGACAGTGCTCTGCTACGTGTTTGTGCTTGTCGTCGCGTGCAAGTGGTACCGTGCAGCAAGAACCAAGGCCGATGCAAGCTTGCGCTGCGGCTCCATGGGCTAGTCGCACGGAGACTCGCTCAAGATCTAAAAGTCCTAAACTATAGTACAGCGACTCGAATCGTATTGCACGTGCACTATAAGAACGGTATTGGAAAGACGCGACCAAGGGATTCAATCTATCCATCCTCTCGCAATTTCAAAATCCACCAAAATGAAATCAAAAAGATACCCAATCAGACACCACATGTTGGATCTTCGAACTTCGTTTGGGAAGCTTTGCGATCGTCATTTTTGAACATTGCGCGTCAAGAGAGGATGGGCTACAACGACGCCACGATGCCAACGCAAGCCATCGATTCGTTCGTGCTCGACGTCGACGTCAAGGAAAAAGTCCTCATGATGACCACCTGGCACATGCGCCAACTCGTCCTCACGCGCCAAACGTTTGAAGTCCTTGGCGACAAGAAGCCGCTCTTGACGTGCGACGTTGCCCACTGCTCCGTGCGGCTTATCGAGTGCGTGGACCCGACGCGCGCGTATCCGTTCGAGATCCTTGTGCACGACAAGGTCAAGCTTTCGTGCAACGCGGCGAGCGGCTCGCTCCGAGATGCGCTCCTCACACGGCTGGACGCCATCGCGCTCGGCCAACCGTGGCCGCCGACAACCAACGACGCCTACAGCGCCTTTGTTGGTGTTGCCCGCGCGCTCAACGAGACCGTGGCACCAACTACCGTGCCACGCACCAAAATCACGATCGACGCCGTTTTGTTGCACTTGGCAGAGATGCGCGGCATGTACGAGATCGCGTCTTCGATGACGTGCATTGAGGACCTCTACGCCTTCTTTTTGGACCTCGAGAGAGACTATGTCGAGGGCGCGCATAATTTTGCGCACACGGTGCACGTGCTGCACCCGCTCAAGTACCAGCGCGGTCGCGTCGACGGGCAGGCGCTGGCCGACATTGTCCGAGCGTGTCCGCACACGCATTGCCGGCAGCCGCTGCCCCTTCCGCTCGCGTACCGGATGCACATTCTTGGTGACGCAATCGTGTGTCCATTTTGCCAATGCAGTGTTTTGTACGAAACGTATTCGATCGCGGCGTTCGTGGCCGCGCACCCGTTTTTTCCCGTGCCGGGACCGGCGATGAACCCGGCGCTCGACGTCGCGATGCCATCGACGCCCTCCGACGGCACGTGGAAGACGTACATTGAGGACGTCAAGAGTGCGATTGTCGAGGTCGCGTCGCAAGGGACGCGACCGGCGATCCTGCGTGTGCGTAAAGACATTCGCGCTGCGATCCAAGCGACCCGGCAGGCACGCAGCCTCGGTGTCTTTGCCATGGACTTGGTCCAAGGCATGTTTCGACAGCTCGATTTTGTCGCCAAGATCGTCGTGCACTACGAGTACTGGACGCACCCCGACGTGCTCCGTGCGTCGATTGCGCGGTACGAAAAATTTATGCACCTCATGGTCCTCAAGGAGTCCAGCGATGTGCTCGTGCCCACGTCCGACATTGACCTCGTCTGGCACACGCACCAGACGCACCACAAGGACTACGTTGCGTTCACGTATCGCTTTTGCCAGCGCCTCATTGACCACGACGACACGATCGGCGGCGGGGACCTCGCCACGGGCTACGCCAAGACCTTTCTGCTCTGGTCGAAGACATACCGCGAGCCATACTCGTCGTTCCCGCCGAGCTACACTGCGTGGAGCAAGGGCATGTCGGCATACCCGGTGTTTCCGACGCTGCGCCAAAAGACGTGGGCCAAGCACAGCCGCCTCCCGTCGACGGCCAACCGCTATGTGGGCGTCAACGAAGCCTATCCGATCGACGCGCTCCCGTACGCCACCGCGATCCACGACGTTATCAAGCCCGAGGGGGTCGTCGACGAGGTGCCCGTGTACGTGACGGTCATCGGAACACCCGTCATGGACGGCCGCGTCCGCCACCCGTACGCGCGCATTACGCTGCTCATGTACGAAGGCCGCCTGCCATACTACTACATGCCGTACGTCTTTGTCGGCGGCTGCGGCGGGTTTGGCGCCACGGGCGGCTGCGGCTCGTCCGACTCTGTTTTTCCCGGCGACTCTGGCTGCGGCGCCAGTGGTGGCTGTGGTGCCTCTGGTGGCTGTGGTGCCTCTGGTGGCTGTGGTGCCTCTGGTGGCTGTGGTGCCTCTGGCGGCGGCTGCGCTACCGGCGGGGGTTGCGCGTCTGGTGGCGGCTGTGCAACTGGCGGCGGTGGCTGCGGATCCAGTGGCGGCGGTGGCTGCGGTGCGAGCAGCGGTGGTGGCGGCTGCGGTACAAGCAGCGGTGGCGGCGGCGGCTGCGGCAGCTCCTCGACGACCTAGGGCTCCGACAAGTCCTTGCATACCTCTTGGACGGCAACACGATCCTATTTCATTTGTATGGTGCAATACGTATTGTTCTCTCCTATACACGAAACGACGCGCCTCGCTTGGCGGCAAACCAGTAAGCGATCGCCCAAGCGATAATGGCCCAGCCGAGCCAGCAGTACGCAAATCCCAGCGTAGCCCGCAGGCCAGCAAAGTCGAAATGGCAATTGGGGTTGAGCACGTCGGCGCCATGCGCGTCGAGAACGCTGCCACAGTGCGGCGCCCAGACGTCTTTCAACGCACCAAGCACAACGCCGGCAGGGACATCGCCGAGGACGTGCGTGAGCAGCGTGTTGAGGCCCATGGCGTACCCGCGCTGCGCATACGACACGCTGAGCAAGATGAGCACGGTCGACGGCGCCGACGCCGAGAACGCAAGCACAAGGCCGAGAAACAGAAAAGCCAAGACCAGTGTCCGGTTGTGTCCGATGCAGGCGAGTGAGAGGAAGAGAAGTCCGGTGCTGGTGACTGCAACGAGGAGTAGCTGCCATGCTGCGACGCGCTGCCGGACCCGGTCGTCAAGCTCATGGCCGCGACAGGACATGTCCAAGAGATGCCCGCCGATGAGAGGCCCGAGGAGGCCGGCGCCAACGACGATGGCGCCGACGGCGGAGGCCGCATACGTCGCGTCAAGGACACCCATGCCAATGTACAAGACCGGTGCAAACGTTGCGAGGCCGTCCAGCGTAAACGAGAGGGCGGCGCTGCCCAAGGACGATGTGAGAAACAACGGACTCTGTAGGATGCGCAAAGTACGCTGCAGAAAGGTGGTCGGTGCGCGCTCTGTCTTTATCAAAAGTGGCGACGTGTCCTGTGGCGCCTCGCCAAGCGGACAGTTGAGCGCTGGCGGAATGCACGCGTAGCATGCGACGGCGAGCGGCACGGCGAGCAAGGCAATCGTGTAAAAACCAGCATCCCAGCCCACGCTGGCCGCAACAATCGAGCCAAACGAAAAGCCGACGGCCTCGCCGATGGGCGCGGCGGCGTAGAAGAGGCCCAGCCACCGCGTGCGCTGGCTCGGGATCGCAAAGGCGTCGATGAAGCTCGGCGCGGTCGCTTGAAACGACGCCTCGCCAATGCCCGAAACGAGCCGACCAGCCAAGAGAAGCGGAAAGCTATCGAGCGTCTTGGCCAGACCGCAGCAAGCGAGCGCGACGATCCAGATCGAGAGGCCGACTGCTGTGAGCGTAAACGGCGCGTGGGTGGTGGCGAGGTGGCCAAAGACACACACAAAGACCGAGAAGGACGCGATGAACGAGGTTTGGAGCACGCCGACGTAGACGCTGACGCTGGCACCGGCCTGCGTCGTCGCTTGGACAAACCCTTGAAACTCAATCGGCGCGCCCGGAATGAGCCCTCGGTCGACAAAGTTGAGAAAGTTGATGGCGCACACAAGCACCAGAACCGCGCGGACGCTGAGCGCGACCATGCCACCACGCCGTTTCGGATTTGCGATCTTTTGATCATTGAACAGCCAGTAGAACGTTTGTATCAGTGTATCAAGTTGGTTCACCGCGCTGGGTCCTAAAAGGATCCTGCGTGTAATGGCAAGGGTATATAATAAATGCATTTATTATATACCCTTGATAATGGCTTGTCCGCTGAGTGCTTAACAGTGGTTTTAGTAGTAGACGTTGTATACACCATCTAGTCGTTGGCCTCCCATCCTGACACCAGACGAGCCCAGACCTTCAAGTTACGATGGCAACAATAATGATATATATGAACGTGTTTCGCGTTATCTTCGTTGTTACAAAGAGTTCGCATGCGTAGAGACTAGCAATCTCCTTCTTCTTCATTCGCTCGCCGGGCCGTGGCTGCGCAGGCGGCGGCGCGGGGGCGCATCGTGTTCCTCTGTAGTCGCGCGGCGGCGTTTGTGGCCGCGGGTGAGGCCCATGATGACAAGCTCCGTGGATTCCTTCCAGGCGTCGCGATCGGCGGCAAAGCTACGCAGTTTGTTGAGGTCCTCGAGAGACGCCAGCGACTGAGGCGGCGTCAAACGAC